TTTTATAAAAACTAGAGAGAAAAGAGAATTGTAATCTGAGTGATGAGTTTAGGCTTACCCCAAGTGGGTATTTATAGTCTCTCAAAGCCTAAGGATAAACAAGAAAATAAAATAAAATAATCCTAAGGTAATTGTTTTTAAATTTAAATTCAAACTTAAATCTAGACTCCTAATGCAACTCTGAACGTCCATCTTACAGAAGGCGTGCGGAGGAAGTCTTCTAGAAACTGTCGCTGACTGGACCTTCTAGAAACCGTCACGTCAGACCACGTCGTGCCCATGTCTCCAGCCTTCACCAAATAATAAAAAAATATAGAATGCACCCGTTTTGTCACTAATTCTAGAAAGTAAGGACCTGCACAAAAACAAGCGTAACACGACCTATTCAGAAGCAATAATTCTACAAAATTGAAGAAATAATGAGCAAAGATTAATGATTCTGAACACTCATCATTTCTCCATCCCAGATTATAAGTATTGGAGTATGGGTTATAGTGTCTCTAGGGAGGTCCCGAAAAGTTCCCTACAACATTTGCTTCTGCGCAAACTTCCTCCTATAGCATTGGACAACAATCTGCCGGATGATCTGGCATTGTACATATTCCGCATACTTTTGTCGATCCAATTTTCCCTGTAGCCAAAGAATTAACTACGTCAGTTAATTTATATATTTTATTTTCTAAGGAAATAGTACTTATCTCGTGAACCCGTCGGTTGGGTTCACTTGAATTGCCAAACTGCTGAGAGTTGGTAGCCATTGTCGAAATTAATTCCCTTGTTGTAGCATGTGCTTTGTTTACAAGAGCTCCTCCACTAACAGCGTCTTCCATCTCCATTGGAAGTATTCATTCAAGAAATACTGGAGGAGTGTTTGCTCGGATAATCCGTGCTATGAACAACTTGCACAAAGCTTTTTAAATCGCTCCTATTAATCGTAAAGTGATTCTCCATCTTTTTGTCTTATTCTCATAATGCCTCTCCTTAATTCACTTGCTTTTGCTGTTGGGAAAAACCTATCAAGAAAAATACGAGTTAAATCAACCAAGTATATATAGAATTGAGAGGTAAATAAAATAGTCATTCGTTAGCAAAACCAGATAAAGAAAAGGGGAAAGCCCATAATTTTATTTGGTCTTCAGATACTCCCTGAGGTTTCATGCTTGAACAAACCATATATAATTCTGTGAGATGTTTGTGTGGACTCTCACCGGGAAGCCCATGGAATATAGGAAGAAGATGAATAAGGCATGCTTTCAGAGTAAACGGAGTTGTGCCTTGAGGAAAGGTGATTCAGAGAGGTTGTTGTACGACAGATGTCGCATCTAACTGGTGAATCGTTTGATCTGACATTAGTTTTGGCGTGTTGTCTATGCCTAGTGTATGTTCAGTTATTGGTTCTTCGTTTGTATTAAAGGAAGATGATCCTTCCGGATTTAATTCTGGATCTGATCGCTCTAGTTGTTCCTATTGTCGTTTTCTTCTTCTTTTCTCGAAATGTTTTGCATGAATTCGTTTGGCTAATGCTTCGATTTCTAGATCAAATTCTACCAAATCACCTGGATTACTTCTGTTAAAAAAAAAAGAAACAACTTTATCAATTACTTTAGTTGAAGTCCTCGGCAACGGTTCCAATTTTGACAGATGTCTTTTTACTGTCAAAATAATTTCATCTTCTTAATAATAACTAAATAAATAGAGAGAGAGAGAGAGAGAGAGTAGAGCAAGGAAGCAAGATCGATCCATAGAGACTGGTGTTTCTGATGAAGTGAACTTTCTAATTTAGATAAGGATGAGATAAGGTAGAGTTTTGGATGAGATTAAATATGGGGTTTAAAATTGTTTTTAAAATAAAAGAGTAGAATAAAATAAAAAATAATTAAGCAATTAAATAAATAAAAGATAAGGATAAAATAAAATAAAAGATAGAGAGAATATAAATAAATAATTAAATTTAAAGTAACAGAGATAAAGAGAAATTTATAGTGAAATTAGCCTTAGGCTTCAGTTTTTGCCTCAAATTCCAGTTGATCCTCGGAATAAATTTTTGCTTCTGTTCGTCGCCAGTTACATTCTAGAAGGCCCAATCCCTGTAACTTGTTTTTCTCTCTTATGAACCGATAACCCAAAATCTATTTTTGGATATCAGTTCTTTATGGATACCAACTACAACTATCGTCGTCAGCACCAACATATTTTATAGATCTGGAAAAACACGACTTAGACTATGTTGCCTCAATGAGAATCTAGCCCGATCTTAATTTCCCTTAGCGGACCGTCGCTAAGTGTGTTCACGGGAAGTCAAACTTGCAACCAGTTGATTCTTCCTCCCAACTATAAATCAGAACAACTTCCGAATCAACGAGCTCTTTTTGATTAAAAAGCATTTTGATTTTAAAAAGATAGGTCGATTACCAATCTTATTCCTCCAGAAATTTAAGAAAATAACTCGAAGTTATTTTAGTGTTTTTCAATCCTCATAATAAGGATTAAGTCATCGTTTCATCCCTTGGCTATAAAGAAATTAGCTAAGAATGACAATCATACTTAGCATATTTAAAAATAAAAATAAAAACAAAGAAAACTTTTGAAAAAAAAGAGAGAAAACTTTTATAAAACCAGAGGAAAGAAGAAGAATGAATTTTGAATGTGTTTCTAGGCTTACCCTGAGAGGGTATTTATAGCCTTCAAAAATCCTAAAAACAAGGAAAAGATAATTCTTAAAAATAAAAGATAATTCCTAATGATAGTTCTTAAACTATTTAAACTAAACTACTAAAAACAAAGATAAAATATAATTCTTAAAATATTTAAAGTAAAATCCTAAAAACATGAGTTTGACTTGGATTCGAATTTTAGAAACGCGGAAGACCCATTCGTCATTCTAGAAGCATTGAGTGGACCATCTGGAAAGTGCTGACTCATTGCCTCGTCAGATGCGTCATGCCCAGAGTCATGCCCACTAATCCAGCCTTGATTCCGAAAATAAAAAAAATTGCATAATTCTTTCCTTTAAGTGCAATTTCCAGAATCTAGTTTCATGGTCAGAAAATGAATCAAAACGAATAAAACAACCATAAAAACTAACAACTAAGGAGCAAGTTAGAGATAAAATAATAACTAAATAAATCACCCATCAATGGTGTTTGTTGAAAACGGTGTGCATATCATTAGAGATTGTCAGTTAGGGAAGTTAGCTTGGCCTGCTATGGATTATAATTTGCCTACTCATATAACAGATGTTGATTTGATAACCTGGTTACATTGGTTGTTTGATCACTATGCATCCACCAAACATGCTGAAATTTTGTTGATTATATGGGGATTGTGGTTTGTACGAAATCGATTCTATTATGAGGGTAAGTAGATGCAGAGGGAGAAATTTGTTACCTTTGTTCGATCACATTGTTTGGTATTCAGGACTATCCATACAAGCATTTGAAGTCATGTGACTCATGCTCCAGTTAGATGGCGCGCTCCTAATCTTCTGAGTGTGAAGGAAAACTTTGAAAATAGATACATACATGCACAACGAAAAATTTGGTTAAGGGTTATTATTCGTGACCATGAAGGCTACATCCTAGGTGCATGTCGGAGGAAGTGTTCGAGAGTTACCTCGGATTTTATGACGGAGGCTACGGCAGCTATTGACGCCATTCAATTTGCTGTAGAGTTGGGCTTCTAAAATGTCATGATTGAATGTAATGCGAAAACGATGGTTGATAAACTTTCTTCCTCGACGCATGATTTTCGAAGATAAGCTCATTGATTTTAAAGGCTAAAAGGAAATCAGAGGCCCACACTGCCTGTACCTTTCGATTCACCCATTGTACTGGTAACTATGCCGCTCATATGTTTACAACTGATGAAGGGGCTGGATTGTAAGACCAATTTTGGATTGAAGAAGCTTCGTTGCTGATGAAGAGAAAAACGGCGGAGGACAGATGGTGGCTCGACCCTCCATAGTTAGTTCGTTGTGATTTTCCACATCTGATTGCATGCTCTATCTATCTTCCTCCCTTTCTTTGTTGGTTTGTGCTCATCATCTTCTCATCCGATTCTTGCGAGGGATAAGAATAGGCGGAAGTTCATCTTGGCTTTTGGTTTTCTTTTTCTTTTCGTTTTGGCGTAGTTCATCTTGGCTTTTGGTTTTCTTTTGCATTTACATTGCTTTTGGGAACTATGCGGTTTTGCAACTTTAATTTTATGGTTTTTTATGCTTTTGTTGAAGGACACCTATATATGTCTGTTTTGTTTTCTTTAATAAAGTACCTGACCATTTATACATTCAAAACATAACAGTTGACATATAATCACATTAGTGATTCAAGGTATGAACATCAATTTCCTTTGATCGATACTCTTGTTGTACTGATTTATTTATCAAATTTAGATATATATTTAATATCTAATTTGCTTATTAACTTTTTATAGACACAAAGATGAACCACCTTTTACGAGCATATTACCAAGATATGTAGGGCTCAATTTTCTTAATTTCATGATATCGAATACTTTACATACTCATATAACACATCAATCAACCACATAGTTATTACAGTGAATCATCGAATAAGACACAACTTCAATTACTAAATAACAGCACGATGCATTAACAGTCCAATTGCCAAAACCCAATTCAATGGCCGCCTCGTTGGGGGAAAGGGGTGCAGCAGTGTTGGATAGATTTAAGAAGAAGGAAAATATATATATACATCGACATAAGGAACCTGCGTAGGCAATGCCAAACAGATTTCAAGTCTGTTTCCTTAACCACTCGGACATATCAACATCTTGTTTCAACAATCGAACAATAATCTATATAAGAAACACAAACTTGAAGAATTGAACAAAAATTATAATAAATAGAACCCTTAAATTTATAATTTTCTTATACAAAATCTACTCAAACACAAAAGCTCACAACAATGTTTCATCAACTACGTAATTACATAAACATGGTACAATATATGAATTACTAAATAATCAAAGTGGTTTAAGCTTCACAGCAAAGGTATCTCAATCTCTATCCTTCCGCTCTCATTCTTCTTATCCTTCACGTACGCCTCATCGACTTTATGCACCACGACAACCAGCACACCACCACGCATCGAAGCCTCGATCTCATCATCCTTGGCATTCGATCTTCTCACCCGACAATGCCATGAGCCTTTCTCTTCGTCTTCTTCTTCATCATCTTTTCTTTCAGCACTGACACGAACAACTCTCCCTTCATAAGTTTGTACCTTCACATCCTTCTTTTTGAACTCGGGAAGCTCGATCTCGAAGTCATGAGCGTCCGGATTTTCTTTCCGGTCCATCGCCGGCGACGACGAGAACATCCTAAAGGGATCCAAGACGGATTCCAGTAGAGACATTACTATTGCAGTAATGTGCGATATGAAGAACACTCACGACGTGTGTTTTACGATTTAGATATATATATATATATATATATATATATATATATATATATATATATATATATATATATATATATATATATATATATATATATATATATATAGGTTTAGATCATAATAGAATGTTGGAGAGATTTCTATTTGGTCAACAATTCACTTTATATTGATAATGTTAAAATTATCCCTGACATTCGTTAAAACGGTTATTTTGAATTTTTAATAGTATTTTGATCTTTAACATTTTATTTTAGGTTTAAAATATTTTTAATTTTTGATTAAATAGTCACTTTAGTTCTTTTTCTTTTCTCTAAAGGATTTTGATATTTAACGTCTCATTTTAGGATAAAAACTTGTATTTTAGAATGTTAATCATTCGTTAACTAATATTTTTCATCTACATAGAGTCTTTTTGCCCTAAATAAAATAATAAGGACTAAAATATTAAAAAAAGGAGAGCTAAAATAATCATTTTAGTAAACATTAGAGATTGATTTTGAAATTTTATATTTATATTATTTAAAAGGTATCTTCTGAGTTTTTTAATTGAAAAATATTATTTTTAAATATAATATAAATATATTCTTACTTTCAAAATAAATATTTTATTTTTTTAATATTTAAATTAAATTATATTTGTTAATTTTTTATAGAATAGATTATAGATATAAAATTGAATATTTTAAAGTGAAAATATCACGTTGACAAATTTGTCAAATTTTGGGGACCGATTATGACATTACACTTTGTTAAAAAGGGAAAGAAAATATGATGCGAAGAAAGTTTCTAGGATAAGCTAGAGTTTTCGAGAATGAAACTCTCTCGTTGCTCCTCGTTAATGAGGCTAAACAGATCAATATTAAATCCATCGATTGTGACATATATTATTATCAAATAGTGTATTGGAATAATAATTAAAATAACTCAAAATATAATAATTACAATAATAATAATAATTAGTGAAATAAATCAACTCAAAATATATTTACAAAAATAGTGGGTTACAATAATAATTGTCAACCATTATTAATAACATTGGTATATAAGTAATAAATGGGTCGGGTTTTTGGTCCACCCGACCCAACCCAAGAACAATGAATTCTTCACCTGAGATTAAACTCAATTCGACCAAAATAAGATTTCACCCGACCCGAACTCAACCTGATATATAACTTAAAAACTCGATCCGACCCGAAATAATAAAAAATATTATTTTTATTCAATAAAAATAGTTATTTAATTGAAAAAATAATATTTAAATGGGTATTATTGTAATTATTCCTAAATATATAAAGTAAAATTATTTTTTTCGGGTCGCGTATTTTTCACCCTAAACCCAAATCCGACCCGACCCGAACATCACATTTTAAAAACCCGACCCCGAACTCAAAAGTTTTTTATTATAAGAAACCTGACCCAATCGGGGCGGATCAGGTCGGGGCGGAACCCGTCAGGTTCGAGTCCCAAGCCCATCCCTAGTGATAACTGATGATGATTTCGATTTAAAATTAATTTATTGTGATTATTTTTATTTATCAAAAAAATTATTAACATAAAATTTCTTTGATTTTAACAAAATAGAGGACCACTATTACGTAATTATGGCATCATTTTGGATAGAGAGGTTCCTATAGATGCAACAATGATGATAATTATCAGTATAACTCTATCTTGTTGAAGTGTTAAAAAAAAGTTTGCCTCCATCGAGATGGAGTCATCGAAGGGACAATTAATCAAGATTGTGTAAACGACGTCAATGGAGGAATACCGAAGTTGATTTGAAGAGATTGTGTTACTTTGCAATGAAAAATACTCCTTCAGACACAAATTGATCTCTACATATCAAGACCTTATGAGAATTTTGTAGTGGAAGTTTTGAAAGAATATATCTAAAGATAGGATCCTAAACACGTTGCACCAATTAGAAAGTCGCGATATCTTAACATGACTTATGCAAAACTCATGAGTTATATTGAACTCAAAAGCAGTTATCAATAATTCATATCTGTTAGGTTTATTAACCTATAGGTATCCATCATGATCCTACACCTGACATCAACATTAAAGGTCATTATAAAACTTCTCAAACATGACTAAGAGAATGAACTAGACTATTCATCACTCGTTCTTCTTGTTTCTCATTAAGATAAAGAATTTGAACAATTATCAATCTTCATATTATCACCGATTATGACACTTTAATTAAATTAGAGAAAATGAATTATCCACGATTATCACAATCTCTTAGATTCCACTAACAATTTTAAATGATGGGTTTGAAGAAGACTATTGAAGCAATGAAGAGTGTAAGAATGAAGATAATTATTTAGCGTAATAAATTCAATAGGCCGAAAAAAGATAAATTAGATCATGTGTATTGGTCTCGGGCAGTCGAGCTATCAAATTCTTAAAATGTAATGGTCGATGAGCCTATCACGTATTGAATTATAAAATGCATGGATGGTTGTTGGTGTATGGTTGCATGGCCAGTATGAGGTGGCTTAAGGTTTGTTAGTCTGGTAAGGTTGTTGTACCTTGTTGATGGCATCGTTTATTATATCTTTGTTATATATTGAGTATTATGGCTTTGAGCAAAATATGATTTTAGCAATAAACACTCTTATTAAATTTAATATGGTATCAGAGCACACAGTATGAGGTGGAAAAGTAAGGAAGTTTGCAATTTTTTTCTCTTTCGTATGAATAACACATGCAATTGCATTTTATTAAAGCCTTTTGGCAAAGCAAAATTACATTGAGTACTAACTTGAATTAAAGTCTCATAAGAAAGATGACAAAGATGACCATGCCACACTTGATACAAATTATAAGGACTCAATGCAACATTAGCTTCAATTGTAGCTTGATTATTTGTACGTAATTCGGACCCAAACTCATAAAAATGACCAACTGCCCGACCTTGAAGTAACACGACACAAGTATCCTTATCTCTAACCAAACACCACCGAGCATAAAACTTCACGAAGACATTGTTGTCACTAGCAAGCTTAGACACCTAAAGTAATTTTTGAGTGATATGAGAAACATGTAGCAGATTACTTAGCTTTAAAGAATAAGATGGAGTGAATAAAGGTGATTGCTTGATCTTCAAAATATGTAAACGATTATCATTGCCCATAACTAGCTTACCAAGACCAGTATAGTCAACCTCATCCACTACTTCATTTGCATCCGGTGTGACATGGTGTGTGGCACCATAATTTGTAAACCAATCGACAGGATTTTCTTCAGCTACATAAGTGTGAGGGCTAATGTAGTTTTTTTTTTACTTGATGAAAACACACGAGATGTAGAATGTCCACCATGAACATAGCAACAACTCGTGCTGCAAGTATTGTAATGATAGATATTTTCCATTGGTTTTCTATTGCCACCAGACCCTCAAGAGCTAAAAGATGTTACTCCAGGAAACATTTAATTAAATTGGTACTAACACCAATTAACGAGGTGCTCATTCTTACCACACGGTTGGCACTGAAGTTTAACTCGGTCAAAGCCACATCCACCAGAGTAAGAATGTGGGGAAGACTAAGAGAAAGAGGTGGAGGTAGATTTAGATTGAGGGCGATCACCAGAGTTAGGGGGTGAACATGCTCAACATTGGCGCTTATGAGCAGATTATCAGCTCGCTCAAAATTTTTCTGCTGAGTTTCAACATCGAGAATGATGGATATGACCCCTTCAAGGGTCAGTGGATCACGACTTGCCATAATAACCGTAACCACATATCGATACTCAGTGGGCAACCCATTCAAGATAGTAACCGATTACTCGAAATTGAAAATGAACGACCATAAGCTACGAGAAGGTCACATATTTCCTTCACATGGGATATGTATGATCACATACCAAGGTCTCCCTTTTGAGCAGATTTAAGTTGGAAGTCAAGATTCATGGCTGCAATGGTAGAGCGATTGGTAAAGAATATACTCATTTTCGACCAGACTTATGTCGACGTACCAATACCCACCAATTGCGACTAGTGGCGGATCCAGAAATTTAAGAATGGGGTCCAAAATTTTAATTTTCTTTTCTTAAAAATAATGGGTATGCAAAAATTGTAATTTTTTTCTTTTTTTTTCCTTTAACACATTAAGCTAAATTTAACCAATTTTTCAAAATAATGGGTATGCACTTGGCCCCTATGGGGGCTTAGTGCATCCACCACTGATTACGACAACAATGAGGGGCTGATTGTGAACAGTAACCATGAAGCAACTGTATTTTTTTATGCAATGAAAAGATCAAATGCTTCATTTTTTATGACAGACACGTCATCAAGAGTAACAATCTTCGGCAGAGGAGAAATGAAACTAGTGAGGAGCTTTTCTAGGTAAAGACTTCGAATGACCAAAAAGGCATGTTGCTTTCACCAAAGGTAATTTGAGTCATCGAAAATAAAACTAAGACGTTTGTTCATGAAAACCTTTTGAGATGTAGCAGAAGAATGCTCCAAATCAGTTATCGGACTGCCACCATCAGGACACATCATATGAGCTATCTTGTTTGTATCAAGTGTGGCATGATCCTCTTGGTCATCCCTCTTATGAGACTTTAGTTCAAGTTAGTAGTCGATGTGATTTGGCTTTGCCTAAAGGCTTGAATAAAATGCAATTGCCTATGTGTTCTTCATGCCAAATGGAAAAAATCACAAACTTTCTTTATTTCCATATCATACTGTGTACTTTGATCCATTTTAACTAGTTTACTCAAACTTATGAGGGCCTGTTCACATTACTTTTAATAGCTTCAAGTACTATGTCTCGTGTGTAGATGCCAACACCTAGCACACTTAGCTTTATTTGTTAAAATCAAAGGGGCATACTGTGAATGCTTTCCAAATGTTCAAAAAGATGGTTCTTACTTAATTTCATATAGACGCTAAGGATCTACAGAGTGATTAGGGTGGCGAATATTGTTCTTTATCCACCTTTCTT